GAATGCTGAAAGACTAAATATAGTCTCTCAGTCCTGACACACACATGACCCACTGCCATCTCACTTACTAGGACGTTTATTACAAGGAAGAATAATCTCTATTCGGAGCTATTCATTATGCCACTGTGAGGATAGTGTTTGAATTATTGTTAAACACTGCTACTTAAAGAACTTGAAATAAATTTAAATTATGATTACTGTCATACTAGATAGTCATTGGTGATACGGCAAGAGAAAACTCATTTCATGTTTTTTTTACCTTCAGATTTACCAGACTGGATACATTATTCTGGAAAAACTGCCAGCTGTGACACCTTCCCATGTTACCTTTTGTGTTTTCTGATCGGCAGACATGGATCAGTAACAGACGCAGGAAGTACCGTCTGATGGGTATTGACATCCCGCCGTCTAAAGGAGGGCCTGCTGTATTCACAGTTTCATCCCCAGGGAGTGAATCACCATTGGCCCTCAGCTCTGACGAGGAGCAGCTGAAAACGCCTGAACTCGGTGATGACTTGAATGATGGGGGATCTGTCTGCCTGTCTGAAGGTGAAATCACAGATAGTACATACAGCACCCAATTTTGTATGTATCTCAGTATTCATGCACTGTTCTTTTTTTTGCTAGATGGCACCATCGACTCACAACACAGAGACGGAGAAGATGGAACAGATGTGTCCACTGCTGCTCCAATGGCCAATAATGTGGTACTTCATTATTTCTCTTATATTACAGTAGAGCCTTATTCTATTTGTCCAGTTAGGAATGGACAGTGTTTGTTTGGGGTAGTGTTCATGCTCAAATGAGATAATACTGTATATATGCCAATGCTCATTCAGAGTTTTGTCATTCTACTTTTAAACATATAAATAGTATATACACACACATATCTCTACACTTGCTTGTAGCAGCTAAACTATAGCAGCTGTGCTGTATCAGTCGTACTGTAAAACCTTTTACAGTATATACCTATACCTTTTCCTGACCAATCACAGGCTTTTGTTTCAAGCATGCAGCGATTAACAGGTCACTGTTTAGCCAAACGTGGTTGTGGTAAAAGGGGTTTTATCACAGACAGTCAGAAAGTATAATGCATCTTCTTTGCAGGAAGAATGATAATTAATTCTTTCTAAATTCTCTTGGTGAATAACTGTGATCTCAGAATAGAGAATTGTGTTCATTATTCTGCAGCCCTCCATCCATCCATCCGTTTTCCTCCGCTTATCTGGGACCGGGTCGCGGGGGCAGCAGTCTAAGCAAAGATGCCCAGACTTCCCTCTCTCCAGACACTTCCTCCAGCTCCTCCCGAGGCGTTCCCAGGCCAGCCGAGAGACATAGTCCCTCCAGCATATTCTGCAGCCCTGTGTTAAGATAATTATAGGCTGAACACATAATCTAGCAAATGCTACATTTTCAAGCCTGTTAAGATAAGATAAGATAATCCTTTATTGTCATAACACGAGTCAGTGCAGCAATAAAAAACATAACATATGAAATAAAAACATAACCACTAAAAAAAAAACGAAATAAATAACAGACCTCTCACACTCCCCTCACACACGCAGGCATATTATATTTTAGCAGCACTAAGTGTGGTAACTGCTGTTGGGTAAAAACTATTGTTGAATCCAGTGGTCCTTGATTTGATTACTCTGAACCGTCTACCTGACGGCAGCAGTTCAAAGAGTGAACGTCCTGGGTGTGAAGTGTCCTTAATGATGTTCTGGGCTTTTTTGAGGCAGCGGTATTGATGTTTTGAGTCTGATATTTATTACATGTTTTCCATCCAGTCCACTACAACATTTATTGTAGCATAATCTTTAAAGCATCATTGTATAGAAAACAATTGAGTTGCCATTATCTTCTACAAACAAATGAAGTACATTAGTTTTTTTGTTTTGTTTGTTTTTGAGTAAACAAATTCAATTATTGCATTTATCCAGAACTGCCAAACAACGTGTTTGGAAAAATAAAACATAAAGAGTAACATTCAGAAGCGATAAATCACCAGAAGACTGACATGTGTAATCATAATTAATTTCCATTTACTTTATATGAATTCATGATAATTTTACCTAATCTTTGTTTGTTTTAACAGAAGATTGAAGTGATTGATGAAGACGAAGAAGATGATGGTGAATTTGTGGCTTCAGATCTAGAGCAAATGCAACATCTGCTGGAATTCAAGGTGAAGACAGGTTACGACAGATTGACCGAGCATTGTTCATACTAGTCTATCCACTCTTCATAAGTGCCAAGGATGAAAAGCTCTGAAATAATACTGTGCCACTTCAAATTCTTCAATTTCAGCATGAAGAAGTTCAGTTCTTAGAGAACGAGCTAGAGCACCAAAAACAAAAATACCTGGAGCTTGCAAGCTTCACAAAGAGCCTGCTCAGCGCTGTGAGGAATAACGACCTGGAGAGACAGCAGGTACGTTTACTGCCATGTTTATACACAGAAAGGATTATTTAAATATCAACTTGATGTGTGGGGAGTTAATTTCACATCTCTAAGCTGTTGTCCATATGTTTAGGAACTCTTGGACAGTCTACCTCAGCCTTCAGACCAGGACTGGGACATGACTGTGGAGAGCGGAGCCGAGCCTACTGTTGACTTAGCGGACACATCCTCCAATCACGACGACGGCCCGGCGGCTGGTGCGAGTGGCATAGAACCTCCACTGGCCCCAGAAAATGTAGAAGTCCCGCTGGTCACCATGAACCAAGATGGTTCAACAGCTGAAGTTACTGAGCCCTCTGCATCAGAGGAGCAACTGCAGGAACTAGAACAGAAGTGACCTATCTCATGTACATCTGCTCACACACTCATACAGATGTTTCCACACTCCACATGGTCGTACATTTACACAAACTCTTTGTGATGCTCCATGCCCAGTGCCTGTGGATTGATGCGTCACTATGACTGTTGGGCTAAAAAATGCCTTTTTTACTGCATATCATTCGCCTTGCTCTGGATCAGTCCAGAAAGAACAATAAACAACCTCCAATCCATCTATGCCTGTCTTTTCATATCTGTTTATAGTAGTTCTTAAACTGGGAGAATATGTATGTTATCTTGTCAATGAAAATAACAAAGATAAATGTTGACTTATTGTAGATTACAGTTGCAGACAAGAGCATTTCAGTTTGTCATTAAACTGCTCAAACTACAGGTCCACCATTGTGTTTTTCCAGATCCCAATCATAAAATCCAAACATGTTTAATATGCAATAACTCAGACTGGAGGTGAAACACGTGAACTTATACCAGATATAACACCTCAGATCAGCTGCAAGATAATGTCCATTATTCCCTACATCATCCTGTTTTGAACAAGCTAGTATAAACTGTCCATAGTCTTACAAATCAGTACTAGCTGCCAAATCATAATAGTGTTTTCGGTTTTGAAATAGAAGTTATGACCATGCATAAACAAATGTAGACATACTGTATATTCATTACCACACAAAGACGAGTTGGCTGGGAGAGAGAGAGCTGGAGAAATAGTGGATAAGCTTTAAGCGGACTATGGATGGACAGCCTTATGAAACTGGTTTTAAAACCTTCAACTGACACACTTGGGATCAGAGGCTTAGATTTGTGACTCATCACAAGAAGAGTTTGCTCTGCTCCCTAATTTTACACTGCGTCAACCAAAAATTGAACTTGTCCGTTACGATGGCAGTGACTATTTCAGTCGCAAGCAAATGTGCAGGCACCCGGATGCTTTTATGTCACTCAGCATGTCATACAGCATCAAGTTCCCCACGCCACCACGTCCTCCCTCCCTCCTTCCCTCTGTATCTCCGGATCCGCTGCTTTGGTTTAGATGGGGGAAATCCTTAACTGAATTGCGTCATAAATACGTCAATAAACTCTCATTCACTGACGACCAGGTACCACGGTAGCCGCCATATTCGCATCTATGGAAGGGTAGCGGTGCTCTCTGCGAGCGTATGGTCCAGTCATAGCAGCAACTATTCCCCGCACCGACCCCTCGATCCCATCCTGATACCGGTCCGCAGCTACACAGCGTGTGTTTGATATTCAAAGCAGAACAGCCGGGCTTCCACAGAGGGGAAGACATGCAACGTGGAGCGGGGGTCTAGGTGGACTACGATGCCTTAGACCTAGAGAGGAATCCTGGCACAAGATGGAGGTAAACAGCGTTAGTAGTGAGGTGAGTTGATACATTCGTGTCAGGCATATTAATTAGCTTAACTTTGTTTTTTATTTGGGCCATCCCGTTAACTCAGCTTGACCTGCAAGTCTGTGTAGAGCTTAATTTCGCATCACAAACTGCAGCGCACCGTGATGCATGCTAACACGCTAGCTAATGCTAACAGCTGGTTAGATGTTTGTTTTTGTTGCATTGCTGGGCTTTTCTAGTTTCATAGCTCCCCGTCCCGACGTTCGCCACCACTCGTTATTCCGGACAGAGGACGGGCTCTTTATCCACTATCTATCGACCTCCTCTTGACTTTTGTTGTGTTATTGACACTTCTCAGTTTGCTTCACAGTTAGCTTAGCGTATGTAGCATTAGCAAGCAGTTAGCCTGCTAGCTGACAGCTTGCGGGCTTGAAACTTGGAGACAAGTTTTTGTTCAACCTCCACCGTCTAGTTAATGAATAGCCGGTAAGGTGGTTTTATGTAAATAAAGAGGTGCAATATAATGTTTCAGCTATGTCAAATATATTGAACATTTAAGTGTGACTGGGCTAAATTTGGTCAGACGTCTCCACAACTGAGGACTGGCTTGTCCGCAACACAAGTGCAGGAACAACTAGTGATGCCGTTATTAGCTATAACTTCGGTTTGTAAACAATGTAACAACTTGGAATTTTTAATTTTCATAGCTGACAGTATATGGGATCTATTAGAAAAGCGTAATAATGAATTAATATTATCGCTACATATCATTTTCATTTAATACATTTATTACACCATGGACCATGATGCCAGTATTATATTTTGTTATCTTCAAACCTTTAAAGAAAACAGTGACACCTTTTGAACGACTTCTTGTAATGCTGTCTTGTGACAGCTGTGCAAAAGTTTTCTTTGCATGGTTCCAATGATGAGGTGTTTTAGCATGTACAGCTAAGCCAACCTGACATCCTAAACCTTTCCATCTGTGGGATCCTTTGCAGACTTTAATACCTAACAATTACAGTACAAGCTGTCTGTCTGGCTGCTGTGGCCCTGTTTAAGCCCACATACACCTGCAGCCTAGTCCATTCTTTGCCAAACTAAGTTATGGTGAAATGTGCCACATGATTCTCTATTTTTTTTATTTTATTTGAAAGACCACAGTTTATATAGGTGCCTTGGTAATACTGGATCCTCTAAACTATCAGTATAGCCATGCCTACAAACCTCTTTCTACAGATGAGCAATTTAAGCTTCTGTTCACTAAATGCTGCTTGAAAGCTGCCAAGTTCACAGAAACAGAGACGTAAACATTAAGCTTTAGCCACTAACAGTGGCCTTGTGGCGATGCTGACTGCTTAATTCAATTTGTGTCAGTTTTTGACTTTGACGCTGATGATGATGATGATGATGATGATATTTAATCACAGCCTTGTAGGTATTTAGTATCAGTAGATTGTGAAATGAGTTTGTGTTTGGCTGTCAAATGGCTGAAAAAGGCTCGCCTGGTTGTGCTGTACGTGTAGGCTGCACCCTGTTACAAGGCGTGATGAGCCACAGCAAAGGTGGGAGTGAAAATGTATGTGTGAATGATGACACAAGCACATGCCCTGGCTTTGGCCAGCCTGGGCGTTCTGGACTTGCATTTTGGCGTTATTCTCTGTTACGTCTTGCTCTGAAGCGCACATCTTGACCAAGTGTTTATATTGTTAATATTATTCTATAGTGTTAAGATTTTGGACATCGGTTTGGTGACTTCTGTTCTGTAGATGTATGTGAGTGTATGTTGGTTGCTCCACCCACTGAGTGGGCTTGCGTAGTGCTATGAGTCATCCTCCCTCTTCAGAGGTTTGATGGTATTCAACACACAAACACACTGGACTGGACTGAATACATCATGCAGGCTGAGTTCCTGCACAAAACTGAAATATGCAGCACCGCTTAATGTTATAGTTCTTGGTTTATTGTCCGATTTACTTTACAGCTTGGATATCTGACATCCCTCTGCTGACAATATCATCACAGTGTGTGGATACTGAAAGAAGCACAGAACAGGCTACAGAATGTAACTCGGAGTATCTGTGGTTATTTTAAAAAGTATCACCACCACCAGCTAGAAGCTGTAAAAGAACCAGGCCCTAGTTTATCCTCAAGAGGCTGAATGCTGACTGCAGCCCTAGCAAACATCAGCCTCTCTGAGCCAGTCAGACATGTTGTTTTTGCCCTGGCTGGGGATTAAGCTAGAATGCTAATAATGAGGGGCATTAGAGGGACAGGATGAGAGCTGGACAGCTGGACAGGCTTGGAATATGGACTCTATACTGTTTGACACCAAATAGAGCTTCAGTTGGAGAAGTGAAAAAGCTTTGTTTTTGCATGTGAGTCATCGATTTCATCTGTTGAATGTTCCATCATACATGTGGGCGTGCAGAAGCCGCAGTCAGTCCTGCTCAGCTGAAAACAAGGATGAACAAGCTTTGTGAAAGTGTTTACTCTTGCCGACTCCTCTGATGAAATTTGTTGGTTCGGATACAGATCAATGGACATCAGATCATGGACGAGCCCATGGAGGAGGGAGAGTCTTTCTCACACTGTGTAAGTAATGATGGGCCTGAGGTCTTGGAGTGTGTGTGTGTGCATTTAGGATGATAAACCTGAAGCCTTGTGTGCATTTCTCATACTGATACTGTTTGTTGTGTAGGATGATGGGACATATAAGGAGATTCCCATCACTCACCATGTAAAGGAGGGCTGTGAGAAAGCTGATCCATCTCAGTTTGAACTGCTCAAAGTCCTCGGCCAGGGCTCTTTTGGCAAGGTGAGGAAACGCAGCAGGCAAATCCAGTGTTTCCATCATGAATTGTATTCATAGCCACTTGTAGCTTTCTAAATTTCTCTTCTCTCTCAGGTATTTCTTGTCAGGAAGATTGTAGGTCCTGATGCTGGTCAGTTATATGCAATGAAAGTTCTAAAAAAGGCATCGTTGAAAGGTAATGCAGCTTTGTTTTTTTTTTTAAATCTGCACACACATATAACACTGCAGTGCTCGGTGTTGGACTTCCTCTCTCACCCTGCCCCCTCCTGTTTGATCCTCTAGTCAGGGACAGAGTTCGCACTAAGATGGAACGAGACATTTTAGTGGAAGTCAATCATCCCTTCATAGTGAAATTGCACTACGGTAAGTGAAACAGTTTTATTTACATAGTATACAGGCCATTATACAGTGGCAAGAAAAAGTATGTGAACCATTTTGAATGACCTGTTTTTCTGCAATAATTGGTCATAAAATGTCATTTGATCTTCATTTAAGTCACAAGTATAGACAAGTGTTTATGCTAAAAACACAGAAGCAATTAAAATCTTTCATGTCTTTACTGATACACCCATTACATGTTCACAGTGCTGATTGAAATAAGACCCTTAGATTTAATTCAACACATGTAAGATTCACTTTATTGTCCCCATGTGGAAATTGGTACTGAACTCCATGTTGCTGTGCTCAACACCTCCACATCACACCTACAAGGGACACATCAACAAAACAATCCAGTAGTGCAATTATTGCACAGATCCTAAGCACTCGGATTGATATAATCACAAATGAGCTGTTCAGTTTTCAGTGTGCAACTGTGTATCATTTGACTGAAGGTAACGGTTCATACTGTGAATACAGAAAGGGGGATTGATCACAAATAATGATCCTTGCCTGCCTAATAACTTAGTTGAGCTTCCTTCGGCAACAAACATGCCTTTCTACCAGCTGCAGATCAGACCAGGTCAGGTGAGATTTGGACCATTCTTCCTCAGAGAACTGATTCAGCTTAGACATATTGTTGGGATGTCTGGTCTGCACACACAGCATCTCTGTTGGATTCAAGTCTGGGCTCTGACAGGGTCACTCCAGAAGATGGGTTTTCTTTGTTTGAAGTTGTTCTGTATTAGATTGACTTCGATGTTTAGGGTCACTGTCCGGCTGCATCACCCAGGACCCCCTGAGCTTCAGCTGCTGGGCAGCTACCCTGACATTATCCTGTAAGATACCTTTATAAACATGGGAATTCATATTCACATCAGCAGCTGTCCAGACCCATGGACCCATGCTTCCACCACCGTATTTGACAGTTGCAATGCTTTTTTGTGTTGGGAGGCAGCAGCCTTTTATGTCATGTATGTTCAACTTTAGTTTCATCAGCCTATTTTCCCATTTGCATTGTGGAGGGTCAAGGTGCTCTTTGACAAGCTTCTGGTGAGCAGTGAGGTCTCTTTGGAGAGCAGCAGCTTCTACTGTGGTCTCCTGCCATGGACAGAATGCTCCATGCAACCATTCCTTTAACTCTTTAGTTGTTATTCTGGCGTTTGTTTTTACCTCAATGATCGTTTTGGGTGGTGCTTCTGGAGTCACTTTAGCTGGACGCCCACTTCTAGACAGAGCAGCCACAAGGCTTCTCCAGACACTTTGTCTAACTGTGGCCTGATGAATATCCAAACTGTGAGGTGACAGTGTAACCCTCTCCAGCTTTATGCAGATCAACAGTTCTTGATAATAAGTCTTCTGAGATCTCTTTATTGTGAGCCATGGTTCACATCAGTAAATGCTTCTTGTGAGCAGCAAACTCAGATTGTTTGTCTCAAGTCAAAGTAGCTCTAACCTACACCTCCAGTCTGGTTTCACTGATTAACTCCCGACTACAGTTAGCTTTTGTTGAAGGATTTACATACTTTTTCCAACCTACACTGTGAATGTTTGAGTTATGTCTTCAGTACAGACAAGAACAATACAATACAATGATTTCTGTTTTATTGGTTGAAATATATTGACAGTTAATAATTGTAATTTGGATGGGAGTCCAATCATATTGTCAGATAAATTTGTGCATGAATGCAAAAAAAAAAAAAATCCAAAGCGTTTGTAAAACTTTTCTTGCCACTGTATTATATCAGTTTATAACACAATGATTTGCTTTTACAATAATATATCAATATTTACATTTTTAATGTCAGCCAGGATTTGTTATTCTAAGTGAGCTTCAGTGTTTACATGTGCCACCCTGTAACCCAAACACCTGAGTTGCTCTTAGGATTGACATTATGATTAACCGGTGGACAAATGATTTATTTCCTTGTCTCCCCAGCCTTTCAGACAGAAGGGAAACTGTATTTAATACTGGACTTTCTCAGGGGAGGGGATGTATTCACTCGCTTATCCAAAGAGGTAGGCTGACATTCTGTTGACATACTTCTCATTATGCTTTAAGCATATTTGCACCTTTTCCCAGTCTATTATTATTATTAATAATTTTTTATCTGAAGAGTAATGCAGCATGTTCTTCTTGTTTAGAATTTTTAATGCCCTTATGTTAATCTCAAGTGTTTTTAAACATATTTGTAAAAATCTTATCTACATAAGCCGCAGTGCTCTTTTATAAACCCTCAAGAATAATTCAAATGACAGCTACAAATGGAACAGGTGCAAATTTAGCATGTGAGTATTTTTATGAGCACAAGAACTGCCAGATCATTCTCATGTTTTCAGTTTGCTCTTTAGTCAAATGTTGACTTGAACTTCTCCTGGAAGCACACGGGTTTTTCTTGGAATCTTTAATGGCTTTTAGCTCTTCAGTAGCTTGTCAGTTAAATCAGCTCTTTACAAATACTTTCAGGGAACTCAGACAATGTCTGATTGTTCCCTGGATAGGTCTTGTGTTGAAGGCATGTCTGAGAACCAGAGCTGCTGGCAGTGTCACATCGACAGCTTGCTGAATCATATAACCTATATCAAATGTTGATGTTGTGACAATGATAATATAGTTTTCTCTGTTTGTGGGTACTGAAGCCTAATGATGTAGTATTTTGTTTTTATTTGCTGCTGTATTTCTCTCCTCTTCTGAGCTCAGAGAGTAAATTTGTCCAGTTCTTATCAGGTTATGTTTACAGAGGAAGATGTGAAATTCTACCTTGCAGAGCTGGCCCTGGCCCTCGACCATCTGCACAACCTGGGCATAGTTTACAGAGATCTCAAGCCAGAGAAGTATGAATCCTGTACCTGACCTAGAAATAATCACTTTTCTATTTAGAAATGGCTTTTGCATCTTCAAAATGTTCATTTTCAGTCATTCCTATTTACATGCAGACTTTAATGAAATGATTAAGATGAGTTTTTCTATTGTACAGTATCTGTACAGGTTCGCAGATGATGTTGTATAATTTGACTATGCAAAAAAACATAGTTTTAAATAATTTAAGAAAAGAAAGAATTTATTTTTCAAGAAAATGAGTTCAGAAGATTTCATTTCTGTACAACATTCAAGTCGGAGCTAAAATGTAATATTGAGGAATGCTGTCCTGGGGAGAAAAATCACATAGGGATGTAACTTCATCAGTTACCCCTCTACCTCTGACAATCACCTCACATCTGCTGGTAACTTCACTAAGGACACATGAGTCATGTGAGCTATCACATTCATCACCAGTCCAATGTGGCTTTGAGGGTCTACTCTGATCTGCCAATTCTTCTATTTAACAGTCCATTTAAAGCCACCACAATAAGATTTAAGCAAAACTCTTTGTACCACAAAGTGTTCAAGTTCAGAGTTTATTTAAGATGAAAGCAAAGGCACAGGACAACTTAAATACTGTTAATGTAGTATTGCTAACTTGATGTGAAGAGTTGTTTGAAGTTTTACCTCTGGTAAAATGGTTTTTGTCTTTCAGCATCTTACTTGATGAAGCTGGACACATAAAATTAACAGGTATGATTCTGATATAATGCTAAATGTAATGCACTTGTCAGGTTTGTTCTTTCTTATCCATAGACTGGCTCCCTTTGCCAGCACCCAAAGCAGTTAGAATTCTGGACGTTATAATTATATACAATATCTTAACATTTTGACATTATTCTCACGTTTGCTTTGTTCAGACTTTGGCTTAAGTAAAGAGTCAGTAGATGCTGATAAGAAGGCTTATTCCTTCTGTGGTACGGTGGAATATATGGCCCCTGAGGTGGTCAACAGGAGAGGACACACACAGAGCGCAGACTGGTGGTCTCTGGGAGTACTTATGGTACGTGAGCTTGACACAAACCTCCACCCACTGGCTTGTCTTTTTTGTGCTTTGACATTTATATAAAACACATTACAATAAAAACATCGTAGACTATGTGAGTTTTCTTCCACTGTGTGTTTGCAGTTTGAGATGCTAACAGGGACATTACCATTCCAAGGGAAAGACCGAAATGAAACCATGAACATGATTCTCAAGTGAGTCATTACATGCTGCATGAGTTACATACTCCAAACATGATGCAATCTTTATATATAGTAAATGATGATTCAGGTTGTTGATATACATCTTTTGCCCTTTCTCTGCTCCAGAGCTAAGTTAGGAATGCCTCAGTTCCTGAGTTTGGAAGCACAGAGTTTGCTGAGAATGCTGTTTAAACGTAACCCTGCTAACAGGCTAGGTAAGGTGCAATATAACTGATTGTGTATGTATGTGTAGGCCTGTTAGAGTAAAGGAGGATGAGATGTGTTGATCCTCATATTGCACCACTTGCTTAGCTTGTGCTTGTTAACTTTTTGGCATCCACTTAAATCACACGCTGTAAACCAAGAAGAGAAAAATGCGTGTGCGTTTGTGTTAATCCTCTGAAAACAATAAAAACTAGTGTGCCAGGTTAACTGAACCGGGGCGAACTGTGTCTTTAGGGGCCGGGCCTGATGGAGTGGAGGAGATCAAACGCCACACTTTCTTTTCCACCATCGACTGGAATGTAAGCACGCGCACACACACCCCTCTCATTTCTCACAGAGCCACACATACACATGCATGTAACTCTCCCAGCTTCTGTTGAGGATTCACACCTAACAAACGGTTGGCTTGGTGACTACTGGCCATCAGTCTTGCCCATGCTAACTGTGTTTGTGTGTGTGTCTGGGCAGAGGGCCAGTTCTCACTGTGTGTACACTAATAGCCCTGTGTGAGTGTTTAAGAGCCAGCAGGATGCTTTTGGCTGGACCAAGCTGTAGAAGGGCTGGACGGGGTTAATCTGGGAGGGGTCTTGGCTTCTTTTCCGTATATGTTCCACACTCTTCAAATAGCCTGCAGTAGGGTTTGAATTCTAACATGTATGTGTGTTTCTTGCGTTTGTGCACCTGCATTTTCTTCAGAAACTGTACAGGCGAGAACTCCAGCCCCCATTTAAGCCTGCAGCAGGTAAACCAGATGATACGTTCTGCTTCGACCCAGAGTTCACCGCTAAAACGCCTAAAGGTAAGTTTACACCTACACACACACACACACACACATTCTATTCACATGCTCTTCAGCTTAAAAGCTACAGCCACTCCTGCAGCCATGGAAACTGCAACTGAGACCTGACTACAACTGTGAAATTTAGTGGGTGTTTGTATGTTCATCTGTCTATATTATGAATTATCTTTGTATATTTAGATTCCCCAGGTATCCCGCCCAGTGCTAACGCCCACCAGCTCTTCAAAGGTTTCAGTTTTGTTGCTCCAACCCCTATGGATGAGAACAAGAGCTCTCCACTGCTCAGCATACTCCCTATAGTTCAGGTGAACACAGACCTATTACCGTATTAAAGCTGCATTAACTAACTTCTCCCTTTTGACCATTAAGGGCAAAGTGAGAGTCAAAATAAACTCCTCTTCTCCCTCTGCTCCTCTCTGACACTCTTGTCCTGTCTCTGAAACTATGTCATATGTGGTCACAACAGCCTGGGCGAGTTGTGGCAGTCATGAAGTGCAACAGTATTAACCAGCTCTAGAACTAATGTATAAAGAAGGTAGAGCCCATAGATCCTATGGTTTTCTGTGACACTGTAGCAACACAATGCCAAATATAGAGGTTTACATTTTAGCAATATGCATACATATGTCTAACTTTGTTTGTAGTGGATGTATCTGCAGTAACAGGATGTTCTGGCCACTATCGCATCACGTTCACACTCTTGTCCTGTCTCTGAAACTATGTCATATGTGGTCACAACAGCCTGGGCGAGTTGTGGCAGTCATGAAGTGCAACAGTATTAACCAGCTCTAGAACTAATGTATAAAGAAGGTAGAGCCCATAGATCCTATGGTTTTCTGTGACACTGTAGCAACACAATGCCAAATATAGAGGTTTACATTTTAGCAATATGCATACATATGTCTAACTTTGTTTGTAGTGGATGTATCTGCAGTAACAGGATGTTCTGGCCACTATCGCATCACGTTCAGTGCTACATACTTGACACACAACTGTGAAATGAGAAATTTCATGCTGCACCTTTGACAGGTGAACAAACTCCCCATTTTTCTAGTTGTGGTGTTGGTGTACATTTGATCAACTTCTCACTAAAATGCTACATGGACTGGGCGAGTTGTGGCAGTCATGAAGTGCAACAGTATTAACCAGCTCTAGAACTAATGTATAAAGAAGGTAGAGCCCATAGATCCTATGGTTTTCTGTGACACTGTAGCAACACAATGCCAAATATAGAGGTTTACATTTTAGCAATATGCATACATATGTCTAACTTTGTTTGTAGTGGATGTATCTGCAGTAACAGGATGTTCTGGCCACTATCGCATCACGTTCAGTGCTACATACTTGACACACAACTGTGAAATGAGAAATTTCATGCTGCACCTTTGACAGGTGAACAAACTCCCCATTTTTCTAGTTGTGGTGTTGGTGTACATTTGATCAACTTCTCACTAAAATGCTACATGGACTATAGTGTTATGTCTGTATGGTAGAGTATTACACAGATTTCATATTGTGGACAGCCCATAAGAAAGCGAATCCAGTCACTGCTGAAAGGGAGGTTAACACTGTAGTTGGCACATCTGTAAGTGTGACTGAAAATTATCACAACATTGTAATTGTAAAATTCCTTTTAGTGCTAATTCACTGGTGCTGAAACTCTTTCCTTTCCTGAATGTACTGGCAGCCAGTGGCCTTGGAGAATCAGTACATTCTTGTTTTACTTGACAATACTTGACGCATCACGATTGCAAATGTGGAAGGCAGTTTTTGCACAGTGATGGAAAGCCGGGATCAGAATTGTTGCCACGATGGTAGAAAGCTAGAGGAATCGTGTCTGGGTGCAAATAGCTGCAATTATCCACTACACACACATTGTCTTCTACAAACTCTCAATACAAACAGAAATGCACATTTTAAAGTTGCTTTCACACTTGCAATTGTTAATTTGACAGCACTTTGCTGTTGTGCAGCCTGTGAATAGGGAGCCAGATACAACATTGGCAGTAAATCCGTTGTGACAGTTTCACTGCTGTACATGTAGTAACATTGCCACTCAGGTTCCACTATTGTATATTTGTGGGAAAGTGTTAAAATGAGCTGCTTCGGGAGCTCAAAATACCAGGAGGATTTGACATTTAGTTGACTTCTGTTTTAACATTATTAGAACAAGCATTGTTGTGGTAATTTGTGAATAACCACATTATATGAAAATAATGCTTATGAGTTGTGAAGTACAGAAAAAACTTTGTACAGTTTGTTACAGAAAGTAATGGAGCAGTTAATGTTTTCTCTCCTGTCCAGATGCACGGGGGCTCATCCAAGTTCTCTGATCTGTACGAGCTACAGGAGGATATAGGAGTTGGCTCTTACTCTATTTGTAAACGCTGTGTACACCGAGTCTCTGCCATGGACTATGCTGTGAAGGTAGCAATCAGTTACAAAAAACTTGTTTAAGTAAATTTGACTGTAACTTAAACTTTTTACTTATGAACATCCAGTCTTAGGTTAAATTTCAGTTTATTTCAACCTGACAAATTTGCCATAAATGTGGCTATTGGGTCTTTGTGGGCATTGCTAACTTTGCACTCGCCACCTCTGTTCTAGAGATTCAGCAAAATGAGGACTCGCTCCGATCTGCTTATATTGGAACAACTTTAAACCTCAGTTTTTTCACAAAGCATTTCAAACACTTGTTTCTGAGTTTGGCCAGAAAGTGGCCCCTTATTATAACTTTAAGGGATCTACTCTTCATCCAGGGCATCTTGCTGGCTCAAATCAGATAACAATCAATAACTGTATTGAGACTGTGAATGTGTGGTAAATTTGTTTCTTTCATTGAAAGTAAAAAAAAAAAAGCCTACACTACCATTATACTGTACACATTTTGAAACAAATTTGTAGGCTATAATTTGTAAGCTTTTAAAAAGCACTATGGTTTTTAATTGCAAGGGAACTGAAGGAGTTAAAATTATTATTTAATCAAATTTGATGGTTGTTGTTGTAGTGTGAATGCACAATTTGATATAAATCCTGTACATACATCAGTACTTCTCTAATGTGCGTTCATATGCCAGGTTCTAAGCCTTGCTATGTGTACAACTGCCAGGACAGAAGTATAAATGTTGAATGTGCCAGTACACCAGCAGGGGGCAGCACAGCTTCAACATCTGAAACCATGTGGCAGCAGAGTTTGAAAACTTTATTAGTGCAATGCTTTGGTGGTTTAAATGTCTGAGAGAGTTTAGATTTTACAATGCAGTCAGTCACACAGTAGCAAAACTCCATTTTACTTGGTCAGTACATTCTGCCATTTGACTCTAACTACGGTTGTCTGCATTTTCATGTCTCAGATAATAGACAAAAGCAAGAGGGACCCCTCTGAAGAGATTGAAATCCTGATGCGATACGGACAACATCCAAACATCATCACTCTGAAAGATGTGAGTAATGTTTTTGTGTAATCTTTTTAAGATAATGAAGTTTGTCACATACTGACAGGTTGTCATTGGTGTCAGGTGTATGATGAGGGCAGGTATGTATATCTGGTGACAGAGCTGATGAAGGGAGGGGAGCTGCTGGATAAGATCCTCAGGCAGAAGTTTTTCTCTGAGAGAGAGGCCAGTGCTGTGCTCTACACCATCACCAAGACTGTTGACTACCTCCACTGCCAAGGGGTGAGAAAACACTTCTGTAAACACATAAGTGACGTTCACCAAAATCTTTTTTAAAACATTTTCTTCTCCTCTACAGGTAGTACACCGAGACCTGAAGCCCAGTAACATCCTGTATATGGACAACTCAGGAAATCCTGACTCCATCAGGATCTGTGACTTTGGATTTGCCAAGCAGCTTCGGGGAGGCAACGGCCTCCTTCTCACGCCCTGTTACACTGCCAACTTTGTGGCACCAGAGGTAAAAGACAGGAGGAGGGATACAAACCAATAAACAGATGGTAGAAGATATTTGAAGTTTGGCACATAGGACAAAGTAGAAATATTCTCTGTACAAAGTGATGCAATGTATCTTTCTGTGTGTGTTTAGGTACTAATGCGGCAAGGCTATGATGCAGCCTGTGATATATGGAGCCTTGGAGTTCTATTGTATACCATGCTGGCAGGGTAAGACTGCACGCAGGGACAACTGTCAGGGGCGTTTACAAATGGTTACAAGTAAATGAAGTGGAATTTCTAAACCAGTCTAATGGCATACAGAGTTGCTACTGGGACATTATAGATGTGAAGGCTGAAGCAATGCATATCATTCACTTTGTCAAAGTGGCAAGTAGAGAATAGAAGCTCTGAAGTTTAACACTTCATGTGTTAAGATGATGTTATTTATTTATTTATTTTTTTTAACCCTCTGGTTTTTACCTCCCTGTTAGGTACACACCGTTTGCTAATGGGCCAAATGACACACCAGAGGAGATTCTTCTCCGAATAGGGTCTGGAAAGTTCTCTTTGACAGGTGGAAACTGGGACACCGTCTCAGACTCCTCAAAGGTAAACACACTGACATCGTCTCTTCACAGTAAAATGCAGCCGTATTGTAATTTGTATTGCATTGTTGTGCTCAGCCTTACATTGTTTAATTGCCCACTGCTACCTCACATAAGGACATGTACGTACACATTGAGAGCCGCTGTACCAGAGTCAAATTCCTCGTGTGTCCATTAATTGACATGGCATCACATTTAGTAGAGTTGCAGTTTTGAACGTTCAGAACCGGTTCAATAGCACCAGTGTCGACTGGCTCATTGTTATGAGGGTGTTATTCACTCGCTAATTTAGAACTGTGATTAGGCCAAAGTCAGACTTATTCAAATTTCACTCTGGCCAGGTGATGTGGACAGGGACACGTCTCCCAAATGTTGTAGCTGGGGAGCTGTTAACTTTGAGAAAGTCTTTCCAGGTGGAAATTTAAAAAGGCTTAAATGATTGATAAGGAAGTACACATTCTTTGCTCATCAGTGTTTATGACTGCTCCAGGACCTACTGTCCCATATGCTCCATGTGGACCCTCACCAGCGATACACAGCAGAACAGGTTCTAAAACATTCCTGGATCACCTGCAGAGATACGCTGCCACACTTCCAGCTCACACGGCATGATGCACCACACCTCGTCAAAGTAAGTATATGTCTTGACCCGCACACAGGACCTTTGGTTACCATGTCTGGGCACTGCATTTCTAAGCATAGACTTGATTCATCCCTCCACATCAGAAGAGATTCTGATCTCTCTCTTTTACATGATGTCATACCCTTGCTTGTACTTCTTTACAAATCAAACTGTCACTTGTCCTGGTCAGTTGCATCTTTGACATGGGAAGGCGAGTACCCAGTACTCTTTATGTTCGGCTATTTTAAGTAGCAGGGTATCCCTGAACCCTTAAAAATACAGTTGTTTGGATTGAATTGTGCACCCAGAGGCTGGACTACTCCTTTATTCAAACAGCTCTGCTTTAGGTTAGTGGACATGATAAATAATTCAACAGAAGTGGTGATGTGGTGGAAGAAGTACTCAGATTCTTTACTTTGAGTCAAAGTAGAAATATCACAGTACTGTTACAAGTAAAAGTCCTGCATAAAAATGTTACTTGAGTGAAAGTATTAGCATCAAAATATACTTCAAGTACCAAAAGTAAAAGTACTCAATATTCAGAATAGCACATTGCACATTAACGTACTGTACTCTTATGTTCTAATTATTGATGGATAATTGTCCACATATAGGTGGAGCTATTTTTACCTACTTATATAATTAAAGTTTGAATGACTTTACATACTGCTGGGTGGTTTGAGAGGAATCAACAAAGTCTTACGATTACAGTGCATGTTGTATTATTAATCTTATTATGAATTCCTTTATCATAATAATTTAATCTATACAGCCACTTTTAGATTTCAGGAGACAGTTAACTGTCATTAATCAAGGTAAATGGAATCAATATGCAAAGCATGAACAAGGCTCCACACTAACATTTCATACTGGGCAAACCGTCTGCACCACTTCTGCTGTCAGATGGCAGAAATGTACTGGACAATAAAAGTTTTCATGTACTCATCAGGAAGAAATAAGCAGTGTTTTTATGTATGCCTTTATTGATTTCCCCCGCCTGACTGCAGAGGGTGGGGTAAGTGAAATCAGAGTTTACAGTGATGCCAGGAGCCTAGTCAGTCATAACAGATACCAGTAAGAAGTTTACAGCACATAACTAAAAGGCAATTTCTGTGATTTAAACAGTCGCCTGTGGCATTTACGCGTCACTAAACGCACCAGAGGAAAAAAACAGATTTGGAAAAAAGACACCTCCGGGTCTGACTCATGTCTCATGCTGTGTGTTGGAGTCAGTGTGGGTTTACACATTTGATAGAATGGAAGTGTGTCCATTCCATGAGATGGGTGAGTGACAGACCTGTGGACAAATGTTCCCACGACAACTTGGCCGTGATGGTTCGGTTGCCTATGTGACACAGCCAGTGTCTGTCTAGTGTTTCTTCAGTGACTGTATGACAGACAGACATTTTTAACAACCGTTTGTTTTGCAGTCACGCGCAGTGTGACCTTTTGAAGGAAATTTCAGGTGCACAGAGAATAAATTTTGTAGCAAAATGTGACTTATCACTTGCAGTCTGGAGCTCTGCAGTGGACCACCAACTGGACTATATGGTTTGGGGGCCCTGTGCTATTGCCAATACTGCATATAGGTGGAAATGGCACAAGGGTGATTTCCTATCCTGAATGCTTAAAACCATGTTTAAGGTCATGGCATATTTAGCTCCTGAAATGACAAGATTACAAAATAGTATGTGTCTTATTTTATGTTTATTCTTGGAACAGTAGAGCAGTTGGTGGTTTGATTTCTGTTCTCCCCAGTCAACATTTCAAAGTGTCCTTGGGCAAGACAGTGAAGCCCAAATTGCTCCCGATGGCCAGAGCAGCACGTTGCAGGGATAGCGCCACCGTGTGTCTGTGTACTTTCCTCCAGTGTCTTTCCTCCTCTCCCACTGTGGGCTCACAAAGCACTCGCAAACTGTGATGCACTCTCTCTATTACATCCTGGAGTTTCCTCTAACTCAGTTCTTGGACCCCCTAGAGAGGTTGTCTGGGTAGCATCCTTAACAAGCAGTCAAACCACCTAAGCTAACTGCTTCTCAGCTGTATACTGAGGCATTCTCAAACAACTGAACTCTTCACCCAGTCGTGCAGAGAGAGGCGCACTACCCTGCACAAGAATGTGCTTCTATCTGTGATCTTGTTCTTTTAGATACAGCACAAAGCCCGCCATCATAGGTGAGGGTTAGAACAAAGATCTACAGTAAAATGAGAGCTTTGCTTTGCTGTTCAGTTCTCTCTTAACCTAAACAACAGGCAGTCTCATCGTGGACCTGTGTACCCACAGCAGATGTGTCTAAAATCCTCCTTGGTGCCATCATATATCTTTTTCAGTACATGTTCTGTACAGATGTTTATTCGTGTAATGTAACAGATGGGCATCTGTTACATTATTGTCTCACATCTGGCTGTGGTTCAAACGTGTTAGTTACCAGTCACACAAATACAGTATTTTATCAGTTGTACTTGTTTTACTGGAACTCTAGAAGATTCAACAAGATGGTTCACTTGATTCAGGCCAGCTATATTAAATTCCGCCTTGCTGTGAACACAACACATGACCACAGATTGCTTTTCCACTGTTGACGACTGTAGACTTGTCATCTTGCTCTTAGTCATGAATCTCACTGCTGTCAGATCTATTCTTGCACTTCTCTCGCCCACATGTGATTCAAGGTCTGACAAATGGTTAACTCCCCCAAGGGCAGAGGTGATGTTTTTGCCAGTGTTTGTTGGTTTGTTCACAGCATAGCTAAAAAAGTGATGAATGGATTTTGGTGACATTTTTTAGAGAGGCCAGGTAGTGGCCCACAGAACAACTCAGTAGATTTGGTGCTGATCCAGATCATCATCCAGATCCAGGAATTTTTCTAAAAGATTAATCACCATTGTGGGTGGAAGGCAAATGACATACGTGAACCCCCTTGTGGCCAAAGTGCACAGCTGTGCTGTTGATCTCACTGAGCATATACAGAGACAAATCCCTGGGTTAATCATAGCTGCCCATTCACTGTCAATGCAAAGTGAGTGCTGCCAGTCAGTGCACCCTGCTATGTGAGACCAGGACTGACGGAGTTCAGCAAGGTGACAGCCCACAGCTGGGGAAAGCTCTACTCTATGCAGCTGCAAGTGGCGAGAGCCAAACAGTGAGGTCAGAGATTTTGAGCTGGGCTCAAAGATGTTAGTTTTTACCCATATGACTGGTTTCATGCCACTATTATGTTTGGATATTTTTTCAGTGACAGAGTAACCACTTAGATTGAGAATATGTCATCAGTCTATCCAAGTAATGCCAATTTAGAATTTGTCCTGATGTTTTTGGAGATGTGAGCGCTCATTAGCGGACCGAGCTAGCTCTATTAGCAGGCAGCTACATCTCGTTCAGCAAGGATGCCGGTGTTCCAGCTGCACATTAATATCAATATTTCTCCAAATGCCAGCAGAAGGTTTTCATGGTCAAACAGGGTCAAACTATCATGGGAGTGTTGCCTTTAGGTGTAATAGTATTGCAGGGAAACTGTGTCTTCTTGGTGGAGCTTTGCACTCTCTGAGAGCTGTCTAGTTTTGAAATGCCCTGCTCAACAGCACTGGCCATGGCCCTCAGTATTTGCTTGTATTTTTGATTATGCAAATTTCTTTTTATAAAAGTTGTATTTGCACCCAGTGTATCTACCATGTCTTGAGTTTAAATCCTGCTCGTTTTGCATTTTGGTGAAATAATGCATGATGTATTTCTGATTCATCTCTAGTATGTGGGTGTTTCTAGCATGAACAAATGTAGTGTGATACAGCGCTGAAAGAGCTGCAACTTCAGATAATTTAATCAGAATCTGAAAAACTCATCAAGTAGAGCTGACAGATTAGTCGATCAACTAAAAATAAACAGTTTAATCATTTGTGGCACTTTTAAAGCAAAATATTTTCAGATTCCAGCTTATTATTATATTCTTTTTGTTATACATGATTGTACACCAAATATGTTTGGGGTTTTTACTGAACAAGACGTCAAAACATGTTGCCTTGGGCCGTAAGGTTATTGTAACAACGTGCGAGTGAAGGTTTGGGCCTTTCTTTCTTTTAGTGCCGAAAAACACCATCAGTCACATGGTGTTCATCTAATACAAACTTCAGTAGAGTGTATCAAACCCAGAAACAAGCTTGGGAGCTTCAGTATCATTCGCCCATCTCTAGGAAACTGCGACCGGCACTTTCCACTCGGTAATAAGATCAATAAGTAATTGCAGCACTACATTTAAGATAAATGGATCTGCTTCTTTTGTTGTGCTGCTGACTGAAAGTGTTGAGCTGATTTTTCCAAATCAGTAGAGAAATCTGTGGAGAAATGTGCAGCACAAGTAAACGGTAACGGGGCACAAATGTTGATTCATTAGCAACAAAACTGGCCAACACAGTCAATGGAAAATAAAATAATACAAACCTCTGTTCACACCAGCACCAACAAGCTAGTTGTGTAGTTGTACCTAGTTAGAGTGTTGTTTACTTTTGAAAAGTTCAAAGTGTCAATTTTGTGGTTTTTCCAGGGAGCCATGGCTGCCACCTATTCAGCACTGAGCCAGAAGACAAACCAGCCAGTGTTGGAGCCTGTGGCAGCCTCCAGTCTAGCCCAGAGACGCAGCATGAAGAAACTCACCTCAACCGACATGTAGGCACGCACCACTCGCCCTCAAACTCTCTGCAGGCGCAGCCACACGCACAAGAGTCCTGGCCAGTCAGATCTACTGTCTCCCTTTTTATTCTATTTATTTGACACACCCGACATATGCACTCACACCCACCTTACGTGCACACGCGCACTGGACGAGGCTGCACTGTGAAGACGTCAGCTGAAGCGGAAAAGGGGAAACTCACATATCTTTTACTGCTGGGGAGACAGACTTGTATTTATTTCCACAGGTTTCATATGCACTTGCCCTCCTCGCCTTTCATTCTTTCTTCTTCGTTTGAGGAAGAAGCGCACCAGCTGATGTTCTCCTTCACTGTGATTGGCTGATTCAAAGCTGCTAGTGTAAACTGTGCCCCCTCCCCCACTGCTCTTCACCAGCGCCCTACTATCCTCCTCCTCCTCAGTTCTCTCTCTCCTTCCCTTGTTAGCTTTTGCTCTCTTCTTTTCTTCAAAGTGAACTTACAGCTTATGTGTGAGAGTGTTGGTGTGATGATGTTGACTGAGGGACCCGCTGTAAGACTGTTTCTTCCCTTAAAAACAAAGATATGATTGTGCTTGTGGCAGATTTATAAAGTCCCTCAGGATCAAAATCATCTGACTGCATTCTCGCTAACACAAATGCATGTGTGGACACAACGTGTATTTCTTTCCCCTTAAAATCACCATCTGACTCATGTTACTTTGTGATGCTAACAATGTGTCAAAAGAGGTCAAATAAGCTGCAGATGGACAAAAGATGTCTAGTATTGGAAAGTGAAACATTGTGGTAAGAATAACAATTTCTAGTTTGCAAAAAATATATAAAAATATATAGAAAAATGAAGAGCATGTGGGGGAGCTGTAGGAATTTCTCTGGGGGGGTACGGGACGCACACCGTCAAGCCAGAGAGGCTGAATTAAAAAAAAAAAAAAAAAAAGTTTTCCATGGATATCTCTTCAAAAGGACATTGTGGAAATTGTATGATATTGTATTTATTTCATTTGATTTTTAAGATTCTATTTTTTTTTCAAGTTCTGTATATATTGACATTAAAGATCATTATTAACATGCACTCACATAGTCTGGTTTGTTCAGTCACAGAAACGCAGTCCACACGTCTGTCACTCATAATAAATTGAAAATGCTAATATAGCGCGACAACTCATGCCTTTGCAGAATGTTTAGATCAACACGGTAACATCTGACTTGACATGTAGCTGCAAGTGGCGATTACGTGGGGCCATAGGATGTGATTTCTTTTTATTGTGCTTTCTGATTAAAAATACATTGAAATGTTTATCCGTACCATGCTAGTGTAAGAGTAGAGCCAGTGAAGAAGAACTGCAAAGCCAGCAATCTGACCCAGAAATGTTTTTAAGCTGCCGTGGTTTCAGAAAATAATCAGAGCTCTTTTTACACACTTATGTTTGTGCATTTTGAAGGAAAAATATTTTCAAGTTTTATTAATTAAAACAAATCTCCTTTGCTGTGACACTCCAAACGGTGGTCAGATGGATCCTCTTTGCTTTAGTTACCCTTGACATGTGTCTGGACCTGGGCAGCACAGTGATTAGCAATGTCACCTCAGTGAGAAGGTTTGGGGTTCGAACCTCATGACCAGCAGGGGCCCTCTGTGTTCTCCCTGTGGCTGTGCCAGGTTTCTCCAGCATCCTCCCAAAGTCCAAAGACATGCTGGTTCGGTTGAGTGGTGACTTATTATTGCCTATAGGTGTGAAGGTTGTTTGTCAGCCCTGTGATAGGCTGGCAATCTGTCCAGGGTGTCCCCCACCTCTCACCCAGTGTCAGCTGGGATTGGCTCCAACCCAAAGAACGTAACGGTCACTTTAACAGAGCTTCTCCGCAGCAGGGACAGGTTCAAAACTGACCCTGGTGAATGACAGGTACCTCTTTACACATCCACCAGACATGCAATTTATTTGAAATCATGTTTTTGTCCCGTTTCCATTCTCCTTGTAACTTTGTTTTGGTTTCCAAACTCAGAAAAATTCTGCTGCTTTAGCTGCTAATTGCTCCATGTTGATCATCAACTAGGCGCTAACTTTTGCGTTTTGGTCACTTGCTGGACAGGTGGCAGACAGTGGATTTATCAAAGTTTTTACTGAAAACTGATGCCTGCTGCTGGAAACGATGGCGATGAGAGCAGTGACAGTAAACGGTCAAGCTGTGGACCATAAAACCAAAACGATGAGCTGAGAGATGGTAAAACACTGTAACGCTGCAGGGAAAGGCAGATAATTATCTGCAGGTTTGTCAGTATGAGTCATCCCATTATCCCATCGTGCTTTTGACCAGTTACTATTATAAAAATGCTGATTAGTGCAGCTTTAACCCCAAACAATCATTTGAGTGAAACGACCCTCCATGTTCCAAGTGCTCTTGTTTCTTTGTTTGCTGTCTTCTAAACTGCATGAGATGCAAAGTGTATCAGCCACCACTAGGTGGTAACACTGCCCAGTCCACGAGACTTAGATGGATGTTGAAAATGCAGCATCCCTCTGTGGGCCTGCACCCTGCACTTATGTAAATGATGTCTCACCTGCTTCCATTTTGTCTGTCCACCCCCCACCCCCCAATGTGAGTTTGTGTGTGTAAGTGTGTTCTTGTATTTGATATATAGTGAGGACCTAAAATGTTTTTGTGTTATTTTGGGTTTGTTTTTTGTTTTATTTATTTGTTTTTCTTACAGAGCGAGGACATTCTTTTGGAACGTGAGGACATTCACTTTCTGTACCAACTTTTTGAGGGTTAAGACTTGGTTTTAGGGTTCAGGTTAGTTGTTAGGCATTTAGTTCTGCATTATATCAATGAGTGTCCTCACAAAGATGGTACAGGTTTGTGTGTGCGTGTCAGAGTTGTCATGACCAGACAGTGGATGGAGATATGGAGATTTATGCGAGGAAACCAGATGGACTGAGGCAAAAGGACTATTCCCATCAATGCACACACACAGAGACACACACTTTGGCCTATGGACCAGCTGTTGTCCTTTCTCTGCAACTGCCTGAGCTGTCCTCGCTCGCTCTCTCTCTCTCCCTGCATTTTGCAGCCAGCCTGGGAGCTGAGAGGTAAACAGTAGGGCTAATTGCTTTGACATACTGCTCTTTGTTTTGGCCTCCTGGTGCTAATCAACCTCTCAGCTAATAAGTCTGCCTGGCAATGAAAACACAACTGTGTTTAAGGCTGGGAAGACCTAGAAGAGGACAGGGGTCTGTCACATTGACTTACACTCTACAATAAGCTGCAGCAGTCATACTTGCGGTCTATAGTTCCCACAGCGCTGTGGTGGCTGGGTGGTGCCCCGCTCAGGTGTGAATCTATTTATCCTCATCAACCAGCATCTCCCTAAAGTCAGCCAATTAACACGCTGTTCCTAATGAAGCCATTAGCTGTCAGATGAGGTAGAGGCAGTGCTTGTCATCAGTCCGCTGTGTGTGTGTGTGTGTGTGCATGTGTATCCACTCTAGCTGCTAATAAAAGCAAGAGAATTAATGGAGTGAGCATGTGTGATAATGACTTAATGTGGAACAAGCAGGATGAGCAGTCCTCTGTCTCAAATGAAGATATCAGACACAGTGATTTACTCTCGGTACCATAAACAGTGCAGCGTTTCTCCTCGCCCATGTACCACTCGTTCATGTGGGTTGCTTACAGTATGAACACAGAGCATGCTACTTCACTGTCTTTTTTTTTTTTTTTAAATGAGACCTCTTAATTGCATATGTGCGGCCTCCCAACATCACATCAAAGTTTGCAGCCTCAGAATAAACATCGCACGTCACTCTGTGCTCACACTGTATGTTTCTTAATTGAGCGATCACACTGCACAGTCCTAATATGGTTTTAATCATCAAAGTAATTGCAAAGACATGAATTCCACAGCCTCAATAGAGAGGAACAATAATATGATGGAGGCAGCTGTTCTACTCACACTGCTGTTGCACTGAATTCTTTGGCAGCGACTGAATGTAAACAAGGTTTCTAAGCACCTGCACCGAACTAAGGGGGGTGAGAGTTAAACTTCAACACCACATTTTTAAAACGTTTTACTAGCAGCAATTAATAAATACGCAGTATTTCTATTCATGGTGGTGCATACTGACTTTCACATTAGGATCTTCTCAGCGATGCCAGAACTGAGGATGTGAAATCAGTTCTAGGTTACTTGATTAATTGTTTTGCAGGTTCTACCATCCTTTCTCCTCTTCTTCTTCTTCTTCCCCTCCTTATCCACCATGCTTCCGTCTTCCCTGTCTTTCCAGCTGTTGTTAGAATTGATTCATAATAGATGATACAACAGCAGCAGTCCCTTTCTCTCCCACTGGTCAGTTATCAAGTTTGGTCACATTCACTTTGAAGTTGTGTTGGCGACCTGCAGAAGTAGAAGGTGAGTTGTCTGCAGCGGGTAACACAAACAGTGTGTTGAATCTGTGTGCAAATCCTCACTGCAACAAGTGTGACAAGCACTGCCAGAAAAACAAATGGGCTCCCGGGTGGGGGGGGGAGTCCAAGAAAAAATTTTTTTTATCAAGAAACCTGGTGTTGTAGACTGCAGAGGTCCACAGCAGTTAGGTTGTTAATGATTAGCAGATTACCATCAGAAAATCCTGTGCCTTTAGCTTTGAAAAGTTTGGTTGCCACAAGAAAGAAAATGTGGTTGTGTTTTTTTTTTTTTGCAATTCTGACAGAAGATCTTGTTAATTATCATTTACAAAATGTAACACAACAAAATTATAAAATACTGACTTCAAAAATGTGCCACCCACCTGAAATAACATTATTTTAAATTGGCGTTATGAATTATAATCCAACAAAATGTATTTATCCTACATTCCTCTCTTTCATTTGTTTACCTGTTAAATGATTCTGTTATTTTTAACTTATTTGTTTTTTATCTTGTAATTTTAGTCACTTAGAAATTTTGATTTTTCTCTCCTTTTTCATATTTCAAAGTAAATGTATTGGAGAATAAGCCTTAGGACAGTGGGTACCAACCTGGGTTGTAATTCAGGAAGAGAGTTTTTGCTTTTTCTTGTGATTTTAGTGGAAGTTTTCAGGTGTTTCAGGCCTTTTCAAAATTATTCAAGCAAGGATAAAAAAAAAAGCAGGCAGTCTGCAACTAATAATGGGGTTAGAAACTTTTGTTTTATGGGGTCACAAGCTGTAAAGCTTGGGAAGCTTCTGCTTTAAGACAGTGATGTATTGTGGGTGCTGTTTGTTCCTGCCTGTTCTCTGGGTGGCAGAATGCAGCGCTGTGCTTACTGTAAACATGATGCAGTGCTCTCCCAGGCCTTGTATCGTGCCAGTTTTACTGCAAACAGTATAGCAGCGCCTTGTAAAATTTTTTTTGCTTTCTCAGAAAACGCCCGCTACCTTGCTTTAAACTTACTGCTCTTTAATCCTAATGGGTTTTAATTGTGTTAGTGACTTTCAGGGATTTTCAAAAAGCTTGGGAAGAATAACACCATGAATAAAAGAATTTATTTTAGAAGAACTCGGTAACCACAGTTTCTTTTTTTTTTTTTTTTTGACTTTTGACTTCACTTTTGAAGTGGGATGCATTTATAAAATATTCCTTCATTCATTCATTTAAAAAAATAAAGGTGGGAGTCGGCTGGTTTCATTATCTCCTGCCTGTAAAACAGCTCCTGCTCCAAACTGCTCCTACACAAGTCACTGTTTGTCACTGTCCAGCCTGATGAGGAGTCCCACACAGGCTCAGTTATCTGCTGGAGTGCAAAGCCGAGTCACCTAACATCAAGGATCCATCCATCCATTATCTATAGAGCTTATTCCTGAATAGGGCCGCTGAGGGGCTGGAGCCTGTCCTAACTAACATTGGGTGAGAGGTGGGGTTCACCCTGGACAGGTCACCAGTCTATCACAGGGCTCTAACCTCAAGCATTTTGTTAAAATATATATTACATGAAGTTCATCACTGAATACTTGTAATACACTGTTATCTTGCACCTGTTATATTTGTCTCGACAATTTCCCAAGCCAGTCATTTCCCCAGTAATAAGTTATGTGAGTATCAGATACTGTTTGGATGGTGCTAGTAAAGGGTTTTGTGCTGAAGAGGCTCAAGGATACTGCAGTGCTGCTCTGGACCTTGGCTCGCTCTGCCTGTGTGCTCGACTGCTGGCAGCTCTTCCTCCATTCAGGGTCATTCCCTCCTAGAAATCAGGGATTATTTCAAACTAGAATAGATGGATGGAATCAATCAGCCATGGCTTTACTTTTCTCTTCTTCTACATAACCACCCTGTTTCACCTCTACCCTAACACCCTTTTCTGCCTCTCCCTCTCTCTCTCTGTCTCCCCCACCCCCCTCTCAGGGCTGCAGACTGAGGAGATGCATAAATTCAAACACATTAGTATTCCAGTCAGGCTCTCCATTTCAAGGCAAGGCCTAGCACCCTTCCGCCTCTCCTCTCCCTGCTCCACTCTCACTCTCCACTTTTGTTTTTTAATCATTTAAGCAGCACTGCATCTACAGGCCTACTTTTTCCCCAAACCATTTCTAAACTATTTTAGGCATTCTGTATTTTTTTTTTTTAATATTATTATATTTTGCCCTTGCATGGTCAATTATGCGCAGCTGTAGTCTTTGAAATGTGATTCATCTGCTTCTGATTGTGTGTGTGTGTGTGCGTGTGCGTGTGTGTACGTGTGTGTCATTGTGTTTAGCTGTCAGGCCCAGCGGCCCAGGCGATAAATCATGCATGTCTGATTGAGGAGGGCAGAGGGCCCGGACAATAACATTTCAGCAGAACTGTTGGAGAAAACGTCTGAGTTTGCTGTGATCTGAAGAACCTGCAGACCTGCAGCCAAGGTCCTGATGAACCACTGCACATTTTACAGCTGTCTTTGGACAGGACATGAAAGCTGAGTGAAAGTCGGGCTGCATTACTGATATAGTTGTACTTGTATGTGTAAACATGTAAATGGACTATAATATTCTTTTATAAGTGTAATTATTAGGTTATCAGTTTAGCTTGTACCATTGTTCAATACAGAATCCTTAAATTATGCAAGCATTTAACAGCTCTATTGAATTTAAAACATTAATTATACATTATTGCTGTGATCATTTCAAATAATAATTTCTTCTAAATCCATATTCATTGATGAGAGGTTGGATTCTGTTTGGACAGTGAACAGTTGTAGCAAGAAATTGTTTATTACAACATACATAGTTTATTTCAAAACATAATACAAGCTTTATACTGAAAATAAATAATTACTTGAGCTGTCATTGAAATTTGGAATAAAACCGCCGAAACAGTTAAATCTTAATGAAAATAGTTTTTTTTTTTTTACAGTGCTAATTAAGTGCATGAATAACTAAGATCATTTGTTTAAATTAATGACTTCAAAAAGGTAATATATAAAACTGTACAATATTCGAGAAAATACTTAAGAAATAAACCAAATAACAGGAGTATTTAAGATTATAAAATTTCGATAGTGAACGTACAATAAAATTATAGGCAGGTGTATAGCGTCAGTCAGTCAGTCCCTCTTTCTACTCTCGGCTTTGTCTCAGAGTCCACACAGTTTGTATGGTCGAAGATGACTGAAATGAAATAAATGGATGGATAAATAGCAGGAAGTGTGTGTGTGGCTGCAGAAGCTGCAGGTCACAGGGGAGGAACTGGATTGTTGCTACGTTGGTAGCAATGCCCCTGCAACTGGAACCAGGGCCAATATATTTGCATATGCAAAAATAATTACAGATCTGCTGCGAGTATGTTAGAAAATAATGAATGTAAATATGCTGAGTATAAGCCCGAGGTGGACTGTAAAACGGCCTCTTGTGCTGGAACAAATCAATTATGACAAGTGAGATTATTTGTTTCACCCACTGATGATACAACAGAAGCAACGTGTGTGGACGAAAAGCCCAAACAAAACAAAACGTCAGTCCCACCCTATGGTTATGTTCGAGCTGATGAGACGTGGTGATACAAACCAAAGGCGCTGGCAGGTTATTAGGCACATTTTGTATTTATATCCGAGATGTAGAAAAGAATTTAGCGGGCTCCAAAAGTGATCTGAAATGTGAAGTTTGATATGCCGCTAGAGAATAATGCCCTCATGACAGTTAGAAAACGACGAAGGCTAAACGGGTATCTCTGTTTTTTTGTTATTGTCGCAGTGCTGGAGTCTGTACCGGGACAGGCACGGCGGCCGGAGGGTGCCACCGCGCGACCCGGCCCTGGACAGTCTGTGCCGGGGGATTCCTCCCGGTGCTTCGGTCAGAGATCGTGGCACGAGGAGGCGTCTCCCGCACTCCTGCTGTGAGAATATGGTCCCTCGTGTGGCGGCGGCTCTCCCGGCGGCGTCATGCGCTTCTCCTTCTGCCTGCGGTTGCAGAACCACACGCGCACCACCTCCTTCTCCAGCTGCAGCGTGTCCGCCAGCGAGGAGATCTCCTGCGCGGAAGGTTTGGGACACTTGAGAAAATGCGTCTCCAGAACCCCCTTGACGCTGACCTCTGGAGTCTGTAACGGGACAGGCACGGCGGCCGGAGGGTGCCACCGCGCGACCCGGCACTGGACAGTCTGTGCCGGGGGATTCCTCCCGGTGCTTCGGTCAGAGATCGTGGCACGAGGAGGCGTCTCCCGCACTCCTGCTGTGAGAATATGGTCCCTCGTGTGGGGGCGGCTCTCCCGGCGGCGTCATGCGCTTCTCCTTCTGCCTGCGGTTGCAGAACCACACGCGCACCACCTCCTTCTCCAGCTGCAGCGTGTCCGCCAGCGAGGAGATCTCCTGCGCGGAAGGTTTGGGACACTTGAGAAAATGCGTCTCCAGAACCCCCTTGACGCTGACCTCGATGGACGTCCTCTTCTTCCTCTTCCTCCCCTGAGCTGCTATCTTATCTATACTGCTAGAGCTTCCTGTGGACGAGTCTGCCTCCTCCAGCCACTTGTTCAGCAGCGGCTTTAGTTTGCACATATTTTTAAAGCTCAGCTGCAGAGCCTCGAATCTGCAGATGGTGGTTTGGGAAAACACGTTACCGTACAGCGTGCCCAGAGCCAAACCTACGTCCGCCTGTGTAAAGCCCAGCTTGATCCTCCGCTGTTTGAACTGCTTGGCAAAGTGCTCCAGCTCGTCCGAAGTCGGCGTCTCCTCGTCGGACTGGTCATGGCAGTGGTGACCGCCAAGTTCGCTGTGCTCTGGGCTGAGTGTGTCCCTGAGGCCCGGGTGCATGCCTTGGCCCTGCGGGTTGGATGGAGGCGTGAGCCCACCGTGGTCCAGCATGCCGTTGACAGTGAAGCCCGAGTAGATGTTGATCTGCTGCCCGCTGGTGATGGAGGAGTTGTGGGACACCGGGGTTCCCCAAGCTCCCGGGTGGTTGCCATGGTTGTTGTGATGAGGGGAGTGATGCGCTACGTGCGGGGAGCGGTGATGGATGATGCCGAGCTGGAGGTCCTCTCGGCCTGGTTTGACGTCCTGCTGCTCCATGGAGGCCGACCAGGGGCTGCCCTCAGACAGGCTGCTCGCCCACTGGTGCCCGAGGGGGTGTCCGTTGCTCTGGATGCTCTGCAGGTAGTCACTCTGGAGGAGTTTCTGGTGTCCTCTGTAGGGGCTAGCAGGCTGCATGACCTGGCTATCCGGGTGGATCATGGGGCTAGAGCTGAGAAGGGTGTAGGGGCTGGAGGCAGCTGTGGCCATGCTGGCTGCTGTACCCCACTAGTGTTACTGAAAGGAGGTAGCAGCTCAGCCTCTGACATCTCCCTCTCTCTGGAGTCTCGGCAGCAGCCTGGCACTGACTGACAGCTTCCACAACCACTCACAGACCGAGGGAGACGGAGTGACGACGCGCTTCCACCAATAACGGCGCCGATACCTAAACCTCCTCCTCTGGAAGCACAGCTGCGGTTGTGAAAGGGTTACAGGCAGTCGAACCGGAAGTGAGACGAAGTGCTGGTCCAGTGGGTCTGGCTGTGTAACGAGCGCAGTTCCTGTTTATTAATTAAAAGTTTCCAACTGATTTACGCACGAGTTTATTGTTGCTGCTGTCACCCTTGAGCGCGTGTGAAGGAGGAGATTAAAGCGCACTGGCATTTGTTAGACGTGCCAGCACTGAATTTAGAAGAATACAATCCAACCAAGAGCAGTTCTTGCTGTTAATTATTAACTTTTAGAAAATGCTTCCTCCGGTGTTTCTAGAATGACACGTCTCAAGCTAGTGTTTATGAAAAAGTGTTTTACGCACAGGTCCTTATCCATTTCCAGTTTGGGCAGACAATAAATAAATTAATAATCGAATACCATGGGTCTATAATTGCAGTTTAGCCTTCTAAATCGGATTTTCATAGGATATTAAAATGTTCTCTAATAGGCCAAACTACTCAGGAATCATACTCATCGGACCTGTAACCATAAAGTCATCAGTAAATGTTTCCTCGCTGCACCCTCTTTTTAAGAGTCTCTCCAGGTCCTCTCACACTTGAAAAAGATCTATCTGTATATGTGAGAGCTAACTCTGTCGCCTAATTATATTTGCCATTAAGAAGACTGCGTCCCAGTCTTCGTATTGGTTTGAAATTCTATTAAATATATTGCTCGAGCCCCCAGGTTAAGCTTGATTTAAATTTGCATACATTTTCATACATTTAGGAGAAATAAAAGAAGGCTGCAGCCACCAGAAAGTCATTAAAGAGCGCCGAGCCGAGGAGCTGGCTGTGGAGACAGAGGCAGAGAGGAGGCCGGAGCAGGTGAGCTGACCGCGGGCTGCTGCGTGTGGACAGGGCCGCTTAGGACGGAAAGACGGAGCCTCTGTAACAGGAGGACTGACAGCGGGAAGGAGGGGTGATGACAGGATAATCTCTGCTCCATAGGGTAGTCCACAGGCCTATAAACGGAAGAGAAATGCTTCATCACATTTATATGTTTGTTGTTTCGTTTTTATTCTCAGCCCAGTGTGGTGTTGTGTGCGCATTTGCGCACAGTTTGCTCTTTGAAGCGTCATTTCATTTAACAGTAGTGGCCAAGTTTGCTGAACTGCTTTGCTTTGATTCGTTCCAGGACGAAATGATACAGAATTATACGCCAACAATTCAAACCTTTCTATCACAGTGGTATTTTAATGCAATTCTTCTACTGTCATACGTGTCATGTTAAAGCAAATAGATTTAAATTCTCCGTTTAAAGAATGTATCCCAAACTAAATTAATCTGAGGCCTAAAGTTGACATCAGCTAAATCTGAAGTTTAAAAAATGTGATCATCTGGTTCCACGGTTATAATCTAAAAAAACAAAACAAAACAAAACAAAAAAATTACAACAGAAATGTACATATATTATATTTTGTCTCGTTAGAAAAAAGTCTGCATTTTTGTGACGCATGAAGCAGACAGGAGAGGGACTTGAAGAGGGGGTTGTATTGCTCTCGATGGTCTAAGTTTCTAAGTGTAACAGATGCTTCTCTTGAAACGCTCCTTGTGCTGATTCCTTTTATTCACATCAACATTTTTCTGCCGTCGAGCGCGTTTCCATAGCGAGGCGAATAAAAGGCAAATCCCCGCTCCGCGCCTCCAATAAAGAGCCCATTCACAGATATAACCAGAGCCAGCCCTGCTACACTTACACCATGCAGCACTGCGGGCTCTCCCTACCGAGCTGCACATTACTGCTAAATAACACAAACGAATGAGTCACAATTTCTCGAGATGTGTCTTTATGAAACGGCGCTTAATGTCGTCTGTCGTGTTTGTTTAGCGGCGTGTTTGTGTTTGGTCCACGGCTCTGAGTGAGTCTTATCTTCTAACTCAGGCTATTTGCTGTAGGCATGGAGGAAATGTAATGGGTAAACTGTGACCTCGTTCGCTAAACTACAATAAATGAGGCTAAAGTGGAATAAATTAAAATATTCTGGGCTGAAGTATTTATTAAGATGCTTCTCCAAAAAAACACAATATCTGCCTGTTATACGATGAATTTACAACTAAGATGTATTTCAGCGCGATGGTTAAGCTCCACCTGTTATTTTTGAAAATGAGCTGTAAAAAGCTGAAGGATGTTCAAGTGCATTACTTTCTGTAACAAACCGTCTGTAAACAGAAGGACATGCTCTTACCTCATGTGGAGAACACTGACTTTAGATGGTCCACATCTCTATGTTTACATAAGTTACAAATGACACTACAGACAATCATTGGTTTCTTATTTTTAATAGGACTTCACGATATTTTCTGTCTCTTTATAACAATTCAATATGCAGTTTAGGACTAAAAATGTATTTGGCTGCTGTTCATTTTGACGTGGTGGACTTAGTGTAATCTTTCCTCCTCCATTTGCCTGTTTTCTGTCTATTCTGTCTGTTTTCTGTCCTCTAGTTTAGTGCAGCCTTATAGATACATCGGGTTTAGTCTGAGACAGCTTTGGGCCTCAGGGCTGGACTTGTTACCTCATGTCATGACCTTTGTAAACTTTCTCCATGAAGCCTAAATCTCCGAGCCCAGTCAAAGACGTTCACAAATGAATCACTTGAGTGCAGATCGATATGAATTTGACCAATATGTATTTATTTATATGGGAAATGTGTAGGCCACGTTGAATTTGATCAAAAGAAAAAGAACGAGTCTGTATTAGCAAGAGAATGAAGCCGTGAATGGAAACACTGGGATCGTTATAGCCCACTGTTAAATCCGAAGCTGCTTGTCAGCTCTCGGTTTAAAACCAGTCGTTCTCTGCTCGCTGACATCCGCGACACACTCCACAGGCTCCCGGACAGTAAAATCGATTTTCCCATTAACCCATGACGTCCCGAAAACAGGACAGTGACACCGTGTTTAAACAAGACGGGCCTTCAAAAACATCATTTCGCTGACAAGTCGTTTTTTCCCCCAAATCATCCTGAAACAAAAACATCTCTTTTAGCTCAGGTTTTGATAGAAAGGTGCAGGTTGTCCCACAGCTGCATGTCCAGCTGTCAATCATCTCTGCCTGTGTGTGTGTGTGTGTGTGTGTGTGTGTGTGTGCAGTAGGGGTTAGGGGGAGGAAATACACCGCAACGAGTGAATGTATATGAAGCTAAAGCTCATCCCATGAGGGTATAGCCAAGTGTAAATGTGCATTCATAATGCATGGGACCCGGTGCGTTTGTTTGGTCTGCAGCGCCAGACCCGGGTTCGAGGGGTTATCATGTGTGTGTCTGTGTTTGTGTGTGTAGTTTTTCACTAGGCCTGTGTTTTTAATTTTCAACAAGTTTTGAACGACGTCCTCAGAGTTTGGAGAAACCAAAAGGGTGGTGACAGTTTCATCTTAGAGCTGAAATTATACGTTTCCACAAGATTGTGCGAGAAAACCTCACTCGTGACATTTATTTGCTATGTCTGCAGTATAACTCTACGTTTTACTGGATATTGTGTTATTTGTATTGTAGAGGTTTTCAACTTATGCAATTGAAGACAATAACAATACGAGTTAACCGACTGAACGAAGCTTCTCCGGACCCCGATGATCATATGGGTGTTTTTTTTTTAAGTCAAAGGAAAACATGCAAATACACCTGAACGTGTTCAGGTCTTACTTTAACATTTTGAAATGATACCACACTCTAACAATGTAATGTCAGCCTTTGTTTAAGGAATATTTTAACGTAAAAACCCACTGATGGTAACTGAAGTACAGCTGATCCAGGCCTATTGATCTGTGGGGGCCAAGGAATTGGCCATAAACATGTGGGAATTGGTTGTATTGCCTTGTCACTGACCGTCATGACAATATTTTCTCATTACAGTTAAATACCTTGGATTTATTTATTTATTTATGTTTAATCAGATAAAGTTGTTTGGAATTTAGAAGTCCCTTCTAAATGTAAGTAGCCTAATTTAATTTTCCAGAACCATTGAAAGAGACCAAGTGCAAAGAGAAGCTTCAATTGCATTTATTAGGTGTGTGGATATTCCTGTTCCATCTAGGATTAAATTTCAGTTTAAAATTATTTTTGGTTTCTAGTTAATTAGAACATGAATTGAGTCAAAACAACAAAGAGGCCTGAGGTCGGAGAATCTTTCAGCACCTGTGAATGGGCTTCATTCTGCACTTAGAGAACAAACACTCTTTGCCAAAGCAGCTGCTGCAAAATAATTTTCATTATCTGTAAGAATTTGAAACAGTTCAACAAAATGGAAACAATTTGTCTCTGTTGCCTTTTGTCAAAGAACCCGTGTGTGTGTGTGTGTGTGTGTGTGTGTGTGTGTGTTACAGGTTCTGTTTTCAGGAAAGGCTGTTGTCCCTGGGTCAGTGGAGGAGCCTCAGTTGGTAAACATCTACATAACATCACCATCTGTTAAACTTCAAAATGCTCAAACATAACACACACACCAACACACACGATGCACACATGAACACACGGCATCCTATACACAGAGCAGTCAAGAAGCGCTGAGGGTCTATAGAAATGTAATGCATACTCTTCAACCCCTCTCCAGCTCCTCCTTCTTCTCCTCATCTGTGCTGAGATCAGAGAAGAGCTCAGGGTTGAGGTCTTTGCTGACACCAACGAGGAAGAGAAAAAACTCACAAGTATAAAAAGCACAGCTAAAAAAAAATCTCCCACTTTCCTTTCTCCTTTTCAACTCGAGCTCAAAAATCAAATGTGGTTGATGTTTAATGAGCAACCAGGGTGAATTTCATGTAGAAAATCAGCAACTTCTCTGCCACAGCTAAACAACCCACCAACATACTTTCCCCTGTGGCCCACTAAACCTCACAAACACACTCACACACACACACATATGCAGGTCCCTCCAAGGAGCAGGCGGAGCCGGCAGTTGCACATCTGCATTTCAAACACAGACTCTCTGGGATTCATTATTAATTAGCCTGCTGAGCCCTGGAGGACTGGTGATGCTGCCGTCATACACACACACACACACACACACACCTCGTGACCCTTTTGCCCCCCTGTGTTCTACAGTTAGAGTCCCCA